TAATGGTAGGAACCTTTTGGAAAAACATATTGCTCTCCTTTAGGGTTAGATTTTTTTTCCACATAGGTTTTTACATAATATCCAATACATCCTTACATTATATTCAACAAATTCCAAAGACAATTTGTATAATTAAGGTTGTGTACAACCAGATATGAACAAAGAGAAAATGAAAAAATGGAAATAAAGTATTTGTAAATAGGGAAGGGAGGAGGGGGTGAAATGAGGGCAGGGGTAAGGGGAAAAAATGAGAACCAAGACCTGTCATGTAAAGGTGCAAGATCCCGATGATGAATGTAACTGTACTGTATACCTAAAATGTACCGGTAAACTCAATGAGAAAAAAATGATTAAAATATCTCTCAGTAAATGTTATTAAAAAAAGATACGAACAAAGACTGCAACTGCTACTTTAAAACTCATGAACTATGAAAATGTTATTCTTGAATGGTTGTAAAATTCCCCTTCCACCTCCACCACCACCATAAACAACTCCCAAAATTCAGCTAGAACACGATCCTAAATGTTCCAGCAAGTTCATGTTGTTGTGGTTATGTTCTTAGTAGAATAATCTCCAGGTAATCAGGTTAATACCAGCACTCACTGTCATCATACCCATGTACTTTGGCCTGCCTTCCACTCTCCATTGCAGGGTGAAGATCACAAAAGGCACCAGCCTTAAATACAAACCCATCCCCATCCCTCTCTCACAATCTCCTCAGTCCTATTTAAAATTATGGAGCTCTGGCAGGGTCAGCATATATATGTTTTTCTGCCTTGTTTATGTATAATTCTTTATGTTCACACAAAAGTAAGAGCTTTGCCCATCTTAGAATCTGCTGACACTCTCGAAATCTTTGGCTTTCCCAGCCTTGCTGTTTACCCAAACAGTATGTTACACTTGCAATTGAAGTGCAATACAGGAGACAGACAGAGCAGGGTCTAAGTACAGGTCCACCTACAAGTGAAATGAGATGTCACCTCATTTCCCACATGGGGATCCTAATCAGCTATAAATCAACTGTGAACCTCTGGGTTTCTTTGAAGTTTCTTCCTAGTGTTTAAGTCTTACTGTCAATTCACAATGAGTAGGTAATTATTTTGTGAATATTTTAGTGTTAGCAAATCTGGTTAAGTTGTTCAGAAAGGAATGAAATTAAGGTCTGGATTCAGTCTCACACTTGAGCAATGTTATCCCATGTTAGATAGAAAGATATAGAGAGACTGAGTTGCTACCTACCCTTCTGTTTTAATCATACAAATCAATGTGGCAAAATGTGTCTATCATTAACTAATTCTCTTTAATTAATAAAAGTTTTGATGGAAAATAGTTTATATGAAGAAACAAGTGATATTTACTGGCTTATTATCCCATTTTTCAAATCTTATTTAAGCACTGAACCTAGGGAATTAAATTTTCTACCACAGTGTACCAGAAGGATTACCACTAAATTCAAAATTTCCACAGGCAATCCCTTACTTGCTCTACTGAGTTAAATATACAGTAATTTGAGTCTACAGAAGGAAATGTATAATGTTTATTTAATAACAAATAGGCCTGGATGTGAACAAAGACAAAAGTTAGTTTCATCATAGCAAGTAAAAGAAATACTTATTCTGATATAAACTTGTGCTAAATGCCTTAACTCAACAAACAGGCAAAATTACTTGTTATAAAATCAACTTTTAGCTGAATATGATGGCATGTTAATCCCATTACTCTGGGAGGCCGAGACAGGAAGATTTTGAGTCTGAGCCAAGGGCTGGCATTTTAGAGACTTAGCAAATCAGTCTCAAATTTAAAAAAAAAAAAAAAAAAAAAATTTTTTTTAAAGGCGTGGGCATGTGGCTCAATGCAAAGGCCCTAAATTTAGTCCTCAGAACCAAACCAAACCAAACCAAACAAAACAAAACCCCACAAAAACAAATCATGAATCAAAGGCATGAATACCCAATGCCACAAATAAATATATATTTAAAATGCTAAGTCACAGTTGAGTGCAGAAAAATTAGAAACAATTGATGGCCTAGAAAGTTAAAAGACCATTGCCAGCTACTAACTGCTCTCTGCTGAATTTCAAGAGAATTCACTACATAAGAAATTTTTAAAAAGTGAACTCGCCTACCCTCTCATTGAGCACTCTCAATTTTCCCATTACAATTAACAAATAACTCAGCAGTCAAGTCTTCCAGACCAGTAACCTCACAATTTATTTTTAACTCCTGACTCCTTCACAAATGTTCCCCTTCAATGCAATGCAAAGTCCTGCCAGTTCTTCAATCACATTGTCTCTCAATTCGGTTCTTTCATCCCATTTTCATATTTTATTTTATTCCCTCATGATTCACAACAAATCCTGCTACTTCCCTAAAAGGGTTCTAATGTCTTTCTACTCAAATCCATCAATTATGTTGTCTAAAACATCTTCAAATATCTTGTTCTGCAATTCACCGTAAATCCAGATCTCTCTTGAATCTCAAACTTACAGGCCCCTCTGCTGTCTTATCAACTAACCCTTCTCTATTCCTCAATTCCATTTCTTATTTTCCTGGTAAACAAGGTCCCTTTAATTCAGATTTACCAATTTCCCTGTTGTCTCTCACAAAATTCACCATCTCATTGCTTCTGTACATTCTTTCCACCTAAAATCCTTCATGCTTCTCTATCAGTTCAGTTACAGCTCCCTTTAACATCTGTCTCAAAATAAACCTTCTCTGAAAAGGTCCTCCTTCTCCAACTCGTCTTTCTCATCTCTTTATTCTTTGTTCCTCTGAACAAAGGATTCAATTTGTATTTTATAATTATACAGTCATCATGCTAATGTTTCCTATTTTCCCTCCTAACCTGCCTTAATTATTAAATAGGCTTTTGAAGACAAGAACTGTAATTTTTTATATATCTTCATTTTGAGCACTTCCCTTAGAATGCTTAAGGGTTCCCATTTCTTCTAAGTCTCCTTAAAATCAAGGTTGTCAAAACCATAATTAGCACTGAATAATTTTTAAGTTAAATTGAACTGTATGGTACTATAAAATTAAAACGTTTAACCTACACACTTAGAGTTACTGCATCCTTGTTCACCATTTCTGTCAAGAACTAAGGAGTTATTTTCAAAGAAAATCCTGGAAACAAAATGAAAAGTCCCAAAACTTAGCATTATAATCTAGGTATATAAATCTTTTGAATAAATCAATTGACTAAAATTGATTTTGAGTGATCTTTAAATTTACTAACAAGGTGTGAAGTATACAAACACTCCAGTACAAGAGACTGTTAAATAGCTATTGCTAAGATCTGTTTCATCATAGCTGAAAATCACCCCCAGAATTTAAAAAAGAATCTTTTCAAATGACCCCATGAAATGCTTAGAAAGTGTGATCCTTCCCTGAAACATGCAAAGTCAGTTTCCCTCTTCACATACTCTGCATTCTCCACTAGCTAGTCACTGAGGGGGAAAAATTAACTTTCAAAAATAATTTCACATTCAGCTATTACCTGGGGCTATTCAGTTTCAGCTAAATTCTAAAAGCCAATATGAAGTTAAACCTTGAGCCCAAATTAAAAGTAACCATTTTACGTTGCTTAAGGATATAATCAATTTCACAGAAAAGCATATACATTTGGAGTTTAAGAAAAAAATTTTTAATCTCAGTTCTTCTAGGAACAAAACAGTTCAACTTGCCCTTATCACATCTCTTTTGCAGAAAGTAAGGAAACAGTAGAGATACCTATATCAAATTCTAAAAATATGTTTAAATAAGCTATCATTAAATACCACACAAACATCTCCACAAATAGCTACATCAAAACACTGGACACTTAGTATACCAAACACTTCAAAAAAAGCAGACTTTTCAGGACAAATCCAGCGCAAGAGTACAGTACAGATAGACACAACCTCCAACACGGCTTAACACTGCCCAACACAGACCCAAACATCCTTATTACACCCAAGATCACAGTCTTCTGCAGAAACTATTTTGGAAAGGCCTAAATCCATATCTTACAACTAAATCCATACTCAGCTAAATGCGACGGAAACTAATGATACAGTATATTTTAAATAGTCCTAAAAAGGAACCCCAATCTGTATTCTAGAATATATAACAGCGAAGGCAATGGCACCTCAAAACTGAACTTAATGACAATGAGCCAGTGACAATTAACGTTTAACTTAGTGTTTGGCACTATGACAATACAAGCCTCAATCAAAACTCGAACCTACTTCCACGTTACATTTTGACTGAACAAATTATATGGGGGCAGACTGGTAACATCAGAACAAGAAGTTTAGGAGATAAAACAACCACTTATCCAACTGAAGACAATGCACTTAGAGATGCAACTGCTGCTTGATTCACCAGCTGCCACTAGCACCTACTAAAAGGATCAATGCTCGCTTCCAAACCTGAATGCCAGAAATTGAGCAAGTTCATCCCCAGATTTAAGAACAAATACTTTGTATAGTCACACAGCTTCACACACACAGCTCCCCCGGAAAAAAAAAAAAAGTGATGAGGCTGGGACATTTAATGTCTCTGTTAAATATACAAAACTATGGTAACTCTTGAGACTCGAGCTAACTAAAATATCCTCCCTTAGATCAGAAGACATACGGCCCGGCAATGTACATAATGGTTTATAAATCAAGACGTGTCCTCTTTATTGAAAAGAACAGCTAACGAAACACTTGTATCGCTATTTTCAAGTGGAAATGCTCGAGCACTCGATAAAGCTCACTACCAACAGCAAGAAGAGTGTAGCAAGTTCGGTTTCAAGTCGATTCAACCAAATTATACTCTCTCAATTCAAGGTTAATGAGACCGGGGGAGGTGGTATGGGAGGAGAAGAGGGAGCTGCCTCATCCTTGACTGAAGACAGGTTTCCATTACCTCTGATTGTTCTCTCAGGAGGGCTACAATTAAAGACTCTGGTATTTCGAGGTGTCTTATTCTAAAGGTGAGGTGGAGAAGGGGTATAAAATAAAATCGATACTCACTGCTAACTTTCATGCTGCCAAACGCTGAAGGCTGCTGCACTGGCTTGCAGCTCTCTGCAAAGGAGGTGGTTCTCGGCCGCCCCGACATGATTCCCCTTCCCGAATCACCTTTTCCTTCCTCCTTTTCTTCCTTTTGTTTTATGTTGGGGCGTTAGGTTAATGATAAATGCAGCATTAAGTTCTCCCACAAGAAAAAGGGAGAGAAAAAAAAAGATTTCGTTCTCTTCGCTTTTCACTCTTCTTCTACAGCTATTTTAAAAAAACAGCAACGTATTTCTCCTTCAAGATAGATAGGTGGATATTCAACATATAGATGATTTAGGGCTGGGGAAAAATAGAATTTACCTCCCTTTCTGGGGAGAAAAGAGGTGGTGAAGGGAAACCTTAAAAATACATATATCACGTGAAGCGGGGACAGACAACTTGATTGAAAATAAGTACTTAGAATACGGTATTTTCCTTGGGGATTTTTTTCCGAGTCAATGAAGAAGGGAAGCGGCGGAAGGATCACGAGTCTCACGCTAGAAGAGAAGGGGGATGGGAAGGAGGGAGGGAGGTGGCGGCTCGGAGATGCGGCGGGAGAAGCTGCGACTCCGGCAGCGACCGGATCCGGCAGGCGGACGGCGGGGACCCGGCGAACTGGAA